TAATATTTTATTTTTTGATATTTTTTCCTATTAAGTACTCATTGTTTAATAATAAAACTCATAAAATTAAAATTAATAATTCATCAATAGAAAGACTCAAAAGATTAAATGTATTATACACCCATAACAATGAACCTTTGTAACAAAATTGGCATTATGCCCCACAGGAAACTCTCTAGTTTTTATTGTTTTACTCATTTTGGCTAGGGTTAGCTTACTGGTTCACCAAAACTGTGACCAACAAGTGTGCGGTATGAGAAAGAGGCACAGATGGAAGTGCCAAATAAACTTATGGGCAGGTCTTGCACAGACTAAAATACTGTCAGATTCTGGCTTATATCCTGCTACTAGATGCAGTGGTACAGTTGAAATACATCAACTCACTTGCTGCTTTAAAGCCAGCCATAAGATGTAGCTTAATTTTTACTTGTCATTTACTAATAAGATTTTGATATATGTGCAAGGAATTAATTTATTATGGTCTCTGCAGTCAGACCTCTCTGCTAATGTGAATCTCTATTGGCAGCCTTTCCTCAGTACTAGCATCATCACCTTAGCTCCACCTCAGATGATCAGGCATTAGATTCCCATAAGGAACACACAAATTAGATTCCTGGCAAGCACAGTTCAGAGTAGGATTTGTGCTCCTCTGAGAATCTAATACTACTGCTGATCTGACAGGAGGTGGAGCTCAGGGGTAATGCAAGTGATGGAGAGTGACTGTTAGTACAGATAAAGTTTTGCTCACTCTCCCACTGCTCACTTTCTGCTGTGTAGTCAGGTTTCTCACAGACTACAGACCTGTACCACTCTGTGAGCCAGGGCTTGTGGACACCTGCTTAGAGAACAAAAGGAAATACAATAGGAAATATAACAATAAAAGAGAAGCAGCTGTGAATTTTAGCAATTTGTGGAGAAAGATGATATGTAGGACCTTGCTCAGCCAAATATATGTTGATTTACAGAGATCAAAGATTCCAAGAAACTCCCAATTATACTACATAGAAATGGTTCTTTACTTGTTCATTATGTCTGAGAATCTAATAGAAGCCATGAAAGTATAAGAATTCACATCTAAATAAAATATGAATGAAAATCTAAAAGCTATGTGAAATTATAAGGCCCAATTATGTAGCCCAGAACATCTGATTAGGAAATAACTTTTATATCAGAATCACCTGGAATGCTTGTTTAGAAATAAAAAGCATGCTGTTAGCCTTGCCTTTGTATAAAGCAACATGGAATATAGGAATATTATATTTTAAAAAATAAACTCCAGTGGATCCTGCAGCAGGTGAGTAATTGACCACATTTTGTTAAACTCTGGTTAGGCATCCATGCAGGACAGGACTAAAGAGCAGAAGCACAGAGAGGCAGAGGCAGAAGCCACATGGAAGTTCAGGAGGGGGAATTTGATCTCAGGGAGCTGAAGGTGAGGGCATTAACATCAGGAGGGTGAAGTAGCCATGTAAAATCAAAGCTGTGTAGGGTGAAATCACTTGTATTAGGAAACATGGTCTTAGAAGTAGGTCGAAAACATTTTGGAAAAGCTCTGAGATGGATAATCTTTCATAGGTAATCCATCATGATCAAAACTAATGGACTGAGAGGTTTTCTAAGGAGAGATAATCTGCTGTATCTGTCACCCCTCTGAACTATTCAAACTATAAAATAAACCTGTGACTCATCATATCCATCACTAATCACCGCAACACTACCCTCTGCTCAAATCACCTTGCACAATAGCACCTGAGTCAGGATCAGAAATTGACTTTCTGTTTGTTGGTCCAGGGCTCAGCCTCTTCCCTATTTAGTCCTAAGGGGATGTATATGTATTTAGTTCATTTGGATGAAAAATTTATGTTAAAGTAGGACAATATTTTTCAGTGAAAAATAATGCATTCATCTGTGGTGTAAATTTCCTTTTTTATTCATTTGAGACAATATAGTCATTATTAATAGGGAGTAGGACAAAAGCAAGCTTTGTCTCAGGGCTTACGATCCCCTGGTCATGGAACGAAGGATGAATTCAACTGCATTCTCAATGATCTCTGTGCCCAGGAGGTTTAGGAATTTGGGGATGTCTGTGTCTGGCTTTGTTTCTGAATCACCTGATTTCTTTTCTGTTGTTTCCTCTGGCTCGTCATCTGAAAGAAAACAGAATTTCAGATGTAATTCATCAATATAAGAAAGGGAGGCTAGGGATATAGCTCAGTGGAAGACTATTTGTGTAGTATGAGCAAAGGCCCTGGGTTCAAGCCCCAGCACTGAAAAGGAAAACAAAACAAAAAAAAGGAATAAGAAAGGGAAATCTCAGCAGGGCACAGTGACACACATCTGCAATCCCAGCAGTAGGGGCTAAGGCAGGAGAATTGAGAGTTCAAGTCCCATCTGGGCAACAGGGAGACTCTATCAAAATATACAAAAAAGTCTCTTTTCCGTACAGGGAACCATTAAATGTCTCATACCTGCCTGATTAAATTCTTCACATGCATTATCTCATGTATTACAAAAACAAATCTGATGCTTAAATAATCATTGGCTCTATTTTGTGGGTAAGAAAACTGAAGCTTGCAGAAATACCTTTCCCAGAGTTAAGCAACTAGTAAATGCCAGTCCTAGGGTTGAAATACAGAAGAATACAGAAGAATGCTTGTGTTCCCTGGAATCCCCTTGCCTATGGCAAAATTAGGTGGAGATGGAATGTCAACGGCAAGCATTTCTTGAACGCATAACTATGACAGACAATCCTCATGTATCCTCTCATTTTATCCTCCCCAAAACTCCATAAGATAGGAAGAGTTATTACCTCAATTTAAAGCTGAAGAGATGGAATTGAAGAAAGGTTGAAGAAACTGGTTCAAGGTCACAGAGTTGGGTAGTGGCAGAAATATAATTCAAACCCCTGTGTGTCTGATATTAAATTGTGGGTTTTCAAGCACTCTGTGATGACTATATAGTCTTTGACCAAAAAGTACACAATTTTCATTTCTTTAGTAAGATTGAAAGTATAATAATGATGGTGAAAACGAAATCCTATCACTTGTATATCATCAAATAGTTACAGAAATAATTATTTTACAAGCACTATGTAATTTTACCTTTGGCCAATCATATGGGTATATTTTTTTTGCTCACTGGGCTGAGAAACTGAAAAGCTTGGGAACTTGCAGAAGAACTTACAAAGAATAGGAGAAGAGATGAGACCATAACTGCAGGCCTCTTATACTTGGCCCCTAACCAAATGCCCTTTGGATTGAGTGCCAAGGATCCAGGTAATGTGGCTGGTTCCATGAAGTCCCCTTGCTGGGTTTTGACTTTGGTTAGTGGTCTTTATTTTAGGGAGATGAAAATTAATGGAAGAATGACAAGAGTTACAATGTGTGCAGTGAGCCTGGTGATGGAATGCAGTAGGACCTTTACCTTTTAACTTTATTGTAGCCTGACAAGTACTATAAGCAGAGTTGGCACATAAAAATATAGTGCTAAGTAAAATTTAAATTTGAAATAAGCAGCAAATACCTTTCTTGCATAAGAGTGACTAATGCAATATTTAGGAATGATACTAAAAGATTATTCCTTACTTATTTGAAATGCCAATTAACTGTGTGTCTTTCATTTTATCTAGCTACCCTATCTCAAGTTTTGACTCATGAAGTCCCAATTTCTGGACATTATAGCCCATAAAGATAAAGGGCACAAAACTAGCTTTTTGTGAAGACTATCAAATTATGTCAAAATCTTTGTACTGGTATAATATCCTAAAATAGAAACTTTTCATAAAAATATTGACATTCAAATCTGCAAACATTTGTTGTTTACTATGCCATAACCAAAGATTTGATAGGAGCCCCAATTTTGGACTTATAACAAAAATTTGTATACTATTTATCAAGTATTCATTCTTTCATTCATTCAGCTGTTCATTTCTTCATTCAGAAAGTATTTTTTCTAAGTCTAGCATTATATGTGCAGTGCTTTTACCTAAGAGTTAAGGTTTTTGAAAAAAAGCATAAATATACACTTGCTCCTCACCTAAAATGCAGGGCAACCATATGCCCAGAACTGGTTTGTGTTCATCATAAGAAGAAGGAAACAGAATTTTCCTGGGATGCCAATTGTGTTAACAATGGGATGGAACTTTTGTGACATATCTTTATCTGCATTCAGCTCAGCAATGGCTTTACAGTTTTAGAGAAGAGAATACAGATGCTCAGGGTAACTATATAACTTACTTAAATCATTCATCTAGAAAGAGGTCAAGACAGGTTTTCCTTGCTTTTTTTTTGTTGTTGTTGTTGGTACCGGGAATCAAACTTGGGACCTTGTGCTTGTGAGGCAGGTGTTGGAACCACTGAGCTAAATCCCCGACCCAAACACTTTTAAGTTGTTGCTGTTTTTTTTTTTTTTTTTCTGGTATTGGGGATCGAACTCAGGACCTTGTGCTTGCAAAGTCGGAACCACTGAGCTAAATTCCTTGCCCCCCGAGCCAGGTTTTAAAATTGAATGCTTTTAAGAGCATGTTACCTGCATTATAGAATTCTACTTCCAGGCAATTGTTCTCTGAAGATATTTGACAAGTGTAAAGCATTCCTTACATGAAAAATGAGTTTTTTGGGCCAGGGATTTAGTTTAGTGGTTCCACCACCTGCTGTACAAGCTCAAGGACCCGAGTTTGATCCCCGGTACAAAAAAAAAAAAAAAAGAAAAATGAGTTTTTCTCCTTTTTATTCCTATTTGCTTTCATAACAATTTAATTTGATTGACTTTTAATTTTGATATGACACTAATACTAGCTTTTCAATATGCAAGGAGCCTGGATGGGAATGTGTGAAGATCAGACTCCACCTCAGTCTTTGAGCCTCAGACATCCTGAGAAGTATTACAGTGTGGAGCATCATGGGGTTTGGAGTCTTCCAACTTGAGTTTGTTTCCTGTTTTCAGCAAGGTGTTAGCTGTGTTACCTTGTAGATAATGCTTTACCACTGTCTCTGATTCCTCATTGTGTTGTCAGGAATGAAAGATATTTTATGTATCTCCTAGAGATATCATATAAATGTGTATATATTTATCTGTATATTTATATAATGGATATACAATAAGAGGCCAAAGGTAAGATCATAAGAAACATTTACTGTGTTATTATTATTATCAATGATGATAGCAACAAAATGATTTCTGTTTCCTTTTTTCTCTAGCACCTCAGGAGATTATGAAAATTTAAAACTACTATTAAAATGTCAAGAAATTTCATACTTATCAACATATCATTGAAGTCCATAATTGAATATTTTCTCTTTTTGGATATAATCTAAGGGCTGGGGATTTAGCTCAGTGGCTCTGCTGCCTGCCCTGCAAGCACAAGGACCCGAGTTCGATCCCCAGTACCAAAACAACAACAACAGATATAATCTAAAAAATCCTTTATTTTTATTAACTATCTGTTCAAATTTATTACTCAATATGATTATAAATTTGTGAGCAATGGTAGCATTGCAGGTATTTGTATAGTTTTTACAGTTCATGCAGTGATGATAAAATTGTGTTATTTATAAAGTTGATAGCTATTTGATTTTATAGATGAAGAAACTGAGACTCAAAACAGTGAAATTATTTAACTACTATTGCAGAATTTGTGAAAGAAGGAACTAGGTCTGGTCTTTAGGACACAAATCTCACCTTTTACTTCTCTGTGTTGGCCACCCTAGCAGCACAGCATACATGCCTCACTAGAGTCATTCTGTTGCAAAGCCTGTGTGTTGTGCTGATAGTGAGTGGTGTGAGTTCTACCAGGATGCCTTCAAAGGACTATTGGTAAATATTTGCACCTTTGAGAGACAAGTCAAGAGCTGAAAGTCTTTGGCAGGCAAAAAATTAATTAATGAACATGCTGAATACTGCCTTGTAGTCCTTACAATGCTTGGGTAAGATATCAGTTATGAGGGAAAGAATCTAGGAACTCAGGTCTTACTACCAAATGCCACCTACAACTGCATCTATGCTCAAGTACCTTTCTTCTGCAAGGTCAGTTTATCAAGCTGTAAGAAGGAAAATGATGGAAGTATGCACGTTCGCTTACTAGGTATTATGGCTTGTGTATAGATGTCCCCCCAAAGCCTCGTTTTGGCAGAGGTGGGGCTTTTCAGAGGTGGCTGGATCTAGAGTGTGTGATGCTGGGATTGATTCATAGTGCAATGCTAGGATCAAGGGCACTAGGATTGAGGGTGTGAGTGCTACCACTCTAAGTAGCTTGGATAAGACACAAGGGATAGAAAAAGCTGTGGTCATTTCTTGTTGCTTTGCTACCTTTTGCCCATCATGAAGTGTTTCTCCTCTGTGATGCCTGTCTGCCATGCCACCCTGCCTTGGAGCCAGCCAATTATAGACTGAAACCTCTACAAACTGTGAGCTAAATAAACCTTTCTCTCTTTAACTTTGAGTGTTGGATGTTTTGTCTCAGCAATGAGAGAAAAGTAACTAAGACACTAGGATTCTGAAAAATAGTCAATTACAGTTACTCAGTTTATTGGGCATGGTGGTGTACACCCATAATCCCAGCACTTGAAAGGCCGAGGCAGGAGAATCACTGCAAGTGTGAGGCCAGCTTGGACTACATAATGAAATCAAGATCAGCCTGAACTACATAGCAAGACCCTGTCTCAAAAGCCAATCCCCCAAAATATTACACATGATAACATGACAGTTAATATTTATTGGGTGCTTATTATTGACTACATACTATTCCAGTTTATTGTCTTTTTAATATAATTTTCATGATGACTTTATAAGAAAATGAACATTATTAATGTTTCTTTGTATGTATGATGTACAGAGAGATTAAATAACAAGCCTAAAGGTGCATTTCTGGTTAGTGGGGAAGCCATCCTAGGAGTCTTATTACAGAGTGTGTAGTTTTCACCATTGAGCATTAGTAGTTATAATCATAAAAATGCCTCCCACTCCAAGCCACATGTGGCGGTGCAGGCCTATAATCCCAGCATTTGGGAGACTAAGTCAGGAGGATTGCTGCAAGTTCAAGACCAAGCCAGGGATATGTAGCAAGATCCTGTCTCGATGAAACAAAATAAAGCAAGCAAACAAAAACATTCCCCCAGCTCTCAAGAAATTTATAAGTAGCGTCACTGTACAATATGACTATATAAGAAAAAAATATTGCAAACTTCATACATGTACTGAAGATGGAAGTTTTAACTGAAGCAGAAGATAGTAAAAACCCTTCCTTTGTTAGAATATGTGCCTCCTGTTTCCTCTTTTTGTAGCACCCAAGGGGCCCTCCCCCTTTATATTTTGGGGTCAGTGCCAACTTCCTCCAAATCCCTGCTCACTACGGCACAGTTCATGGCTGTGATCTAAAGCACTTACCTGCATGGCAGGTCAGTATTAAGACAAGCAGTCCCAGTACGATTGTAAGTCGAAGTACCGAGACAGCCATTCTTGTGGTACTGTGTATAGATGCAGATAAATAGCTCAGCTGCACTGGAGCTTTGCCTCATTTATAGGGCATACATAGATGACGTCACCTGCTGTGGAATTTAGGTTGTTGAACGAGATGTCTGCACAGCTTACCCTGGGATCGCTACTATTCAGCCCTGCCCTGTCTTTCAAAACCTAAAGTTTTTTTTAATAAGGAAAGAAAAGCCCTCCTGGGGTTTCTAATGTACCGTACACCTATAAAGAATATGAAAGTGGCTGTTCCACTGCAAGCATGGATAATTAGATTGTTACGAGGCAGAATTACTATTTAGCCCTGAGGAACAACTACAAATCAGACTGAAAATGTGCTTACTCCCCTCCTGTGCCTGGCTTCTTTTCCCATGTGCTGGGATGACCACACTGCCTTTGACCATGCCCTTCCACATACTGTGCCTTCCTCATCTGCTCTATGGAATCCTTGATCCCAGTGATGGAAAGCTAAATGTTTTAGTAATTGTCTTCTTCAGCCTGTGGATCTAGCTAGCTAGCTAGCTAACATCTATCTATAAAAATTATAAATAAAAACAAATGCACAACTACATATTTATGGTACACAACATGATGTACTAAAATATGTATACACAGTTAATGACTAAATCAAGCCAATTAACATACGTGTTACCTCACATGGCATTTATCAGTGGTGAGTACACTTAAAATCTACTCCAGTAATTTTTCAGGTATACAATGCATTTTTATTAATTATGGTCAGTCACCATGTTGGACAATAGATCTTCTGATATATTTATCCCTCCTGTCTAAATGAAATTTTGTATTCTTCAGCCAACATGTTTCCAATCCTTCCTCCCAGCCCTTAGTAACCATCATTCTCTGCTGTTGTGAGTTTACCTATTTTAGATTTTTGTATAAGTAAAATCATGTGGTATTTGTCCTTGTGAGTCTGGCATATTTTACTAACATAAGGTCTTCCATGTCAGTGCATGTTATCACAAATGACAGGCTTACTTTCTTTTCAAGGCTGAACAATAGTCCACTGTGTTCATGAACCAAACCTCCTTTATCCATTCCATTCATCTGATAGAAGACTTACATTGCTTTCTAGCCTTCAGCTCTCTTAAGGGAAGAGTGTTTTATTATTTGTGAACCACAAGGAGTCTAGTGATTGACACAGGTCTGTTTTGACTTCTTTGCCTGGTTCTTCCAAACAAGAACACATGAGACATTTAAATGTTTCCACCAATGGGCTGTAGGCTTTGTAGAGAAAAGACTATTATTTTTAGAGTTGAATATTTATTATTCTAGACTTACAGTAAACAGAGAGATGAGTAGGGGGAAAGAGAGAGAGAGAGAGGGAGAGAGAGAGACAGAGAGAGAGAGAGCAAGGGAGAAAGAGAAAGAAAAAGAAGAAAATCTTGGAAATTGATTCCAGTCTTTCCCTTCCACTGCAAGATGCCACTTGCAGTGGTCCCTATACCTATACTTAACCATGGACTCATTTTAATAAAGTCTGCCTTACCATCTTTCAAAAGGAAAAGAAACAATAGTTAACTAGATTAATTGGATTAAATAATTTACATTTGATGGAACAAACTGATATCATTGAGATCCTATTCTGTACTACAGATACAATGTGCCTTTCTTTTTGGATATGAGCACTCAGAGGTCTAAAACTTGTCTCAAGTCTAGATGATACTAGTTATCCTGAGGAAGCTATATGCTCAATTACTTGGGATAAGGACTTGCAAGGACCAAAACTTTACTCTGGATGTCAGCAAGCCATTTTATGAATGGGTTTAATAAACATGTAGGAAAAGGAGACCTGTGCAGTGTCTCAGAGCCAAGATCAGGACAAAGCCCATTCCCCCTTAGTTGGATTCTTTAGAAGGCACAAAGCTCTTTGTTGAAAGTAAACAGGCAGCTCTGCTTGTCAGGCCTCTCCAACCCGTTTCTTCAATACGACTCTGGTTTTCTCTCTTCTGCACCAAAAGTTGTGATCTAGAGACAATCAGGCGCATTAGGAAACTTTCAACAACAACATCAGGGCCAGCTGAGCACTATACTGGTCCCCTGAATTCCAGGAGGAACAACATTCAGATGTCTCTGTGAATCATACCATGGATTCTGTTATAAAGCTGGGTTTTCTCAGAAAGGGTAATATCAGATGATATTCCAGGTGGGGTCATATTTTTCTAACTCACTACAAGAACACTATACAGACAAGCAAAAGTTTGCAACTTAGAATAGAATTCTGCTGATTTCCTGAGTCAGCTGGATGGGACATGCAAATCCCTGATTCAGCAGATACTTCTGGTGGTTGTGGTCAGGTGTCAAGAAAATAGAACTATCTTGAACATCAGGAGAGCTACCTTCAATTTGTGTCATTACCACTAATTCATTGAGTGACTATTATTAAACACCTACAGGTGCAGAGCCTCGATTTTCTCCCTGGTTGTGTTTTTTGTCCTCTTTCTTGGTTTGTACTTCCAAGCTTCAGTTCTTAGACCAGATGTCTGTTTTCTGACAATATCTGTGATCCATAACCCAACTCAGATCTCTCTGTTATATTCTTTACAAACTCTGTATCATTTTTTCTTAGTCCTTAAAGATTTTTTGTTTAATATTTTAATATGTCTTTGCCCAAGAGTTACCAAAATCCAAGATGGAAGGATTTTGTTCACTGAGACAGTTTTGGTCTCTAGTATAGGACCTTGTATCTACAATATATCCAACAAATCTACATTGAGGAAATGAATTAATGAATATTTTTTTTTAGAAGAAGAGCCCAAACTCCTCTAATGGTTCTCTCTGTTAATGTTTATAAGTCTGTTAAATCATGGATATTACTCCAAGTCTCAGTTTCTTCATCTGTTAAGTTTGGGACATACCATATTATAATTTCTTGCTGATTATCCAGGCTAACAATGACAAAATACCTGATAAACTGTAAATAACCTTTCACGTGTGCCGTACTAATAACAAGGAGCTGTGGCTTGTCTTCTACGGGTGTAACCAAATGAATTTGACTTTTCTTGAGATTATGGGAGAAACTTTTACTCAATCTGGAAAGAGGATGCTGAGAACGTTCTTCTAGAACACCACTCTACTTTTGTAAAGAGTTATGTAAGTGAAAATAAGAAATACTTTAATTTCTATGGCTATATTCATACTTAATTGAAAATCATAAATTATTTTTCCTCAATTGCAATTTGAGTTGCATCCTCATGGAGAGATTTCAGTGTAGGTATTAGTGGTTAAAAGCAGAGGCTTTGAGTTCAGAAAGAACTAAGCTTGAGTTTCATATCTGCCACTTGCAAACTGTGCTAAATCTGCAACCTTAAAATATTTTCTAATTTCTTTGTGCCTTGGATCCAATGTCTACAAAATAAGAATAATAATAACTCTTGGGTTTGTTATGTGGATTGGATGAGAAAATATGTACAAATAGCTCAGTGCCTTTTACATAATGATAGATATGACTCTATTCTATTCTGTGCAGTCTTCTCTATTCCATTTTATCTATTTCACTCTACATTGGGTTGGCCCACAGAAAGGAGTGACAACCATGCAAACAGCATTAGGTCTAAAAATAACAGTCACAATAATAGGGTGCCTACTCTAGGCAGGTACCAAAACGAGACACAACATATTGACAAAGCTATCGGGAGCCTATCATTGTTATCCCCATTTTATGCAATGAAATTCAAGCTTTGAGAAGTTAAGTAACTTGCCCAGGGTTACAAAACATGTATGAGCCAGAGTAGGAAACTGGACCCAAGAACAAATGATGCCAAAGTTTCTGCTCTTAATTAATACACTGCTGCACTGACAAGTGTGTTTAGTGGCTGCTACTGGCAAACCACCTGGGTGAGCAAGCAGCCCTGGAGGCACCAGCCTATTTGTGCACAAGATCATCTGGATCTCTGTTTTTCTCATAGGGCTTTCAATCTCCCATTAGACTCTGGAGGACATTCTGGCCCTCTTCATTCATCTGTTTGGTGCAGTTTAATGTATCAAACATACAGGGTATACAGGACCTTCTTTAACTCTTTGCAGAAAGTGAACTAGAAAAAAGGCTGCAGGATAAAATATATGATAATTAATTAAACTTGACAATGAGTAATTTTTAGTGTAAGCATCTGCCAAATACCTCATAAGATCTACCTAAAAACTTTTGTTGCTGAGTTGAAATTTTCAGTTGTTTGGTTATTTTTTTTTAGCTGAAGTTTAAATTTAACTGGGCATTCTGTCATTTTATTTGCAGAATCTGGCAACTTTACCTGGAGAGCCCGAGTAAATGTTTTCTTATGATTAGAGAGCTGAGGGAGTCAAATATGATTAAAGATTAGTATTTGAGTTCAAATCATACATGGAAACTACATGTTATTAAAAGGCCCCAGTAGCATGACTTCTGCAAAGTTTCGTACTGGATGCTCCTTCATGAAGAAATCACATCTGAAATATTTTTGTCTCTTGCATGCCTCAGGAACAAATCAACAAGCCCCTCTTCTACCTTGGTTCATTCCAACTCAAGTCCAGACCAGCCCTGAAAGGAGACACCTATGGGTTCTGAGAGGGTTTCTACTCCTATGATGCTTGCCTGAAGAGAAGCGGCTGTACCTTGTCACCTTAAAACCTTTCTGAATGTAGTTTGTAACTTACACAAATCTCACACTACAGTTCCTTTGTTTATTCAATGAACATTTATTGAACTTGTGTTCTTTACTAGAATCTCTGCTAGGCACTGAGAACAAGAAAACACAAAACGCCATTCCCTGACCTGACCTTCATCAAGGGATGAAAACTCGTGACAATATAATTGCATTTTAAATACAAAAAATTTTAATGAAGATGTGAACAGATTCCTATAGGAGACAAACAGGGAGTGGTTAACATTGCCTGGAGGAGAGGGTCAGGGAGGTATCATCTGCTTGGGCCTGGAAAGGTAATTGTGTAGGTGTTTGCTATGCAAGCAAGGTGTAGAGGACACTTCAGGTAGGAAGAATGACACTGGCAAAGGACAGAAGTGCTGAAGAACATAACATATCTCCAGGACTGAATG